TGCGCTTTTTTCTGTGTGCGCTTTTTTCTGTTTGCGCTTTTTTCTGTTTGCGCTTTTTTCTGTTTGCGCTTTTTTCTGTTTGCGCTTTTTTCTGTTTGCGCTTTTTTCTGTTTGCGCTTTTTTCTGTTTGCGCTTTTTACCGTTTGCGCTTTTTTCTTTTTGCGCTTTTTTCTGTGTGCGCTTTTTTCTGTTTGCGCTTTTTTCCGTTTGCGCTTTTTCCATTTGCGCTTGCTTCTGAGTGCGCTTTTTCTGTTTGCGCTTTTTCCGTTTGCGCTTTTTTCTATTTGCGCTTTTTCCGTTTGCGCTTTTTTCTGTTTGCGCTTTTTGCTGTTTGCGCTTTTTCTGTTTGCGCTTTTTTCTGTGTGCGTTTTTTCTGTTTGCGTTTTTTTTCCGTTTGCGCTTTTTTTCCGTTGCGCTTTTTCTTTTGCGTTTTTTTCCTTTGCGTTTTTTTCCGTTGCGCTTCTTTCTGGTCACCACATTTTTCATATTTAATTAAACTTCTTGAAAACAAAGCACTTGTGTAAAAATACACGATTGGCAACATTTTTATGAAAGCCCCATAAAAATATGCATCAGTTTGGTGTGTTTGACTAGATTTGGAGATTCTGTGTTTCTAACTTGGAAAACTGCTTGAGATGCGTTACCGTTTTAAATAAAGCGGGAGTGATCTCCCCTTAATTTTCTCGAATTAAGGGGAAAATTGCAACTCGGGATCTAGACATGATTTTTAATCAATGTCTAGATACTTAAACTTTAAAAAAAAATAGAATAGAATCTCGTAGAGAAAAGAATTGCGCACCAAGTGAATAGCAAACAAACTGCATAATAGTGAGGAATATTAGTGTAAGCCCTGCTAGGGGGGGGGGATACCTTAAAATCTACCCTTCTAGGCTTATCTAACTACTGTCCGGTCAGTGCAAGTCCGGCTAAACCCAGACTGGTTAATAACCTAACCTTAGTCTAAATAATAAAACTACTAAAAATAAAACAAAAACTTAAACAATATAATAAAATTTATTTAACAAAATAAATATGGAACCAAGCTTATAAACAAACTAGAATTTAGGTAAAACAGAACACTGGAGACATAAAAAACAGAACTAAACGGAACAAAACACCCAATTTCGGACCACCGTCCATACACCACATAAACGTGACACAGAAACTCTTCAACACACAGGCCTCGACATTCCAGCAGAATGTCCCTCCATGTCGACACACTACATTCACGAACCAAGAAACCAATACTACGAACAAAGGAACCAATGCTACGCACAAGAAAATATTCCCTAATACAATAATAAGAAACATTCAGGACATAAAGCAAAGTGGAGCAACAATCCAAAACAAAGTTTGCATAAATAATAACATTAAAATATAAACAAGACACAATAACCAGGCTACAAACCATTGTAAAATCAAAATAATATCAGCGCCATAATAGCGGACTACTTAACTAAAAACCACAACAATCCTCAAAGGAACATAAAAAGCGACATTCGCCTTCTTAGTTACAAATAATTATAATAACAGATAAACACACTCCAGCCGCTCACATAAGTACTTTGTAAATTGATAAGCGGTTTTTTTTTTTTTTTTTTTTTTTTTTTTTTGAGAAGTCGGAATTAGCGTATTGTACTAATTCCGGTCAACAGAAATTGGTAAAAGTTTGACAGAAGACAGAGAATTAGATTTTTAACATTTATATTTTGGAATTTCGTATACCTATAGTCCTATCCATCTTCAACAATACTCAAGTTATAGGCTTTTGTCAAACGAAAAGTAGAATAAGTTACCTGAAATTTCTGAAAAGTTGACACATAACTACACATTTGATATCTATCTTCTATCTTTATACTAAAACTCAAGTTTGTATACATGTTTGAATATATTTTTTTTTTTTGTTTGTCTGATTGAGTAATGGAGAGAATCTGCTCTATGTGTAGGGCTGTAAAATAGTAAGTAGGTAGAGAACAATTTTTGTTTTCAGACAGACTGTTAATCACAAATTTATTTAAAGACATTAATTAATGTATTGATTTATTTATTAGTAGATTAACCACATTAATTTTAAAAGTTTAGAAAAACGACTTTACTTTGAGTGAATAGTGACGTCACATGATTTGTTTACTTTTTAGTACAATAAATGGCGGCTCCAATACAAGATTTCGCATCTTATTCAGATCTTAAACGCGGTTTAAAGCTAATTTTCTGTCGGCTATAACTTTAACAATACGTGCGTTTGCTATTTTTATTACGTTCAAACACTTATATCAATTTTCAACAGTCTTTTTCATTTATTTTTACAATAAATTTCTCTAGCTCTACAATCTGTCCAAGAAAGTTATTTATAGATCAAGATCTAGAATCTAGGTCAAACCAAAGTTTAATTAGTTCAAAATACAATCCTTTTTGAAATCATAATAGATTTTTGAGTTTCTTTATTAAACTACGTTAGTCCTTAAATACTTTATATAAATCTTTGTGATTTATCTATCTAGATCTAGAATAGGTCTAATCTAGATCTAGCAAGAGCTACGCTAATCTAGACTTAAGCAAACCAGTCGTAGAATATAGATAATTTTATATAGATTTAGATAATGACGAGTTTCTACATACTAAACTATTTCAGACCTTTATTGTTTTATATAATCTTTGTTTGTTTAGCTATGGAATTGGCTAATTTAAGATAAAATTTAATTTGAAAGTTACTAGACTTAGATCTAGATCTGGCCTATCAGCGTAAAGCAAGTTGCATAGGGAGACTCAAAGTATTAAACTATACTATAAAAAAATTCAGTGACGTCACGAGTCTAAATAGCTAAGTTGTTAGTGTAATAGGCTTTTATGCGGGTGGCACGGGTTCTAGACACATCACGTCAAAGTTTAAAAAAAAATCATTTTTTTTAGATGTGAATGATAAAGTTGCCTATCTGAACTTGGCGGGATACAGAGCAGGTGAAGTAGAGTTCATCTGTTTCTTTGTACTAAGCATATGAAGGGATATTGTGGTCAGAGACATGTTCGACCGGAATAGTTTTTTAAAATTATAAAAACACGTTGTCTGAGACATAGCGGGACACTGGGCAGGTGAAATTGTGTGGATTAGGTCACCTGTGATGTCAGTGTATGAAAGGATAGTGTGGTCAGACCAATGCTCAGCCGAAATCGGTGTTTTTAAAAGATTTTAAAAAACATTTTTTTTTAATGTGGGGTCTGGTTTTTTTGTGACGATAAGTGACAGAAGTGATGTTTTGTAGATGACCCCCGAAACACACAGTTATCCAATGGATGACCGGGTAGTCTAGTAATACTTAAATATAAAATTTCTTTAACCCAGCTGTAACTTTATTCAAGTTATCATGTTCACAAGCATAAATACACACATACATACATACACACACTCGGACATACTGACAAAATTGCAACACTATGTTTTTCCGACTCATGGAGGTGTAAAACGTCGATTACAATACCTCTTCTATACTCTGTAAACGAGATAGTAAAAATGTAAATGTAGATTGCGAGGAGCCTAATTGTTGGAATACAGAGCCTTTTATTTGATAAAGCCATTTGATAAGGTGTTTGCGTTTGCGTTTGTGGTTGAGTTTCTGTTTGTCTTTGCGTTTGTACTTTCTTTAGTATTTGCATATTCGTTTTTGTTTGTGTTTGTGTGCTACGTTTGTGTTAGTGTTTGTGATCTGTTTGCGTTTTCATTTCTGTTTTTTTATGTGTTTGTATTTGCGTTTTCGCTTTTGTTTGTGCTTTCTTGTGTGTTTGGGTTTGCGTTTGCGTCTACGTTTGTAATAGCGTGTTGCTTTTAAGCTTGAGTTTTAGTTTGAGTTTGTGTTTTTTGTGTTAGTGTTAGTGTTTGTGTTTGAGTTTGTTTTGCATTGTGTTAGTGTTTGTTTTTTCTTTTGTGTTTGTAATGGTGTTTATGTTTGCGTGTTGCGTTCTCGTTTGTAATTGCGTTTGTGTGTGTTTTTGTTTGCGTTGTGTGTTATTGTGTTTGCCTTTGTGTTTTCTTTTGTGTTTTCTTTTGTGTTTTCTTTTGTGTTTTCTTTTGTGTTTTCTTTTGTGTTTTCTTTTGTGTTTTCTTTTGTGTTTGGTTTTGTTCTGTTCACAAGGTGGCACATTTAAAAAAGATTCACCGCGGCGTTGCACAATTTCCTTATTACTAACCCTAACCCTAACCCTAACCCTAACCCTAACCCTAACCCTAACCCTAACCCTAACCCTAACCCAAACATTTAAAAAAGATTCACCGCGGCGTTGCACAATTTCCTTATTACTAACCCTAACCCTAACCCTAACCCTAACCCTAACCCTAACCCTAACCCTAACCCTAACCCTAACCCTAACCCTAACCCCAACCCTTGGTATTACAACTGATATAATCGAATTTTAGAAAAAAGTAATTTCTGCAACCTTTTATTGCAAGCTTTTATTTAACTTGCTTCCATCCTTGCTTAAAACTTGCCTTTTGTCATCAGGGATCAATACTGGCGAGCTAAAGTTCTACCACATTTTCCGTGTTCATTTAGTGCGCAATTATTATTAGTCAGGAAATTCTCTATCATTAAAAAAAAAACTAAAGTATACATTTAATAACATGCTTTTATTTAAATACTAGCCGTTATAGGTTAGGCTTTATCTAAATACGAATGTTCATATATATATATATATATATATATATATATATATATATATATATATATATATATATATATATATATATATATAAATATATAAGATATAAACGATTTTCGTTACATGAATACTAATTTGTACATTTCAGAACTACTCCCCCGACCTCAACGAACTCAGAAAGACCCCATATTCCATCAGGATTTACAGAAAAAACCCATATTCCATCAGGATTTACAGAAAACCCCCATATTCCATCAGGATCAGCACAGACCCTGCCTGTCTTTCCAGTCCACCACACTGGTCTCAGTCTACTCAATGGAGTGGCGCCAACTTTACCAGCAACTTCATGTCCTATGTATCCCTCTCTCTTTTTTCCAGTCTGCGAAGACTTTAAGTTTTTTAATATATCTCAGCTACAGGCAGCCAACCAGGTACACCTACAAGCAGCCAGCCAAACACAATTGGCTAGAGAACTTGCCACGCTAAAGCCGACCTTCTTATCTAGAAATCTGGAGTTGGCCATGCTTGTCTGCTCCACGTTTCGAGGCAAACTGTTTCCGTGCCCCCATTGCCGTTACGTGACGGATCGACGCAACAATCTCAAGCGTCACATTTCCACCATGCATCAGGCGTGTGACAAACAACTCGAATGTTGTGGCGTGACATTCGCTACCAAAGCTTCGCTTCGAGACCATATTGCCATCTTTCATCATAACGGTTACTCTTGCCCTTTCTGTGGCCGACGCTTCTGCCGGAAAGCTTTGTTAAAAAGACATCTCTCTGTTCATAGCGGGCAAAAGGACTATACGTGCCCGAGTTGTGACTATGCCACAAGCCACAAAAGTAATTTGGAACGTCATAAAAGAATACATGCTAGACTTCAAATTATGAGCCCTGGTGGCTCGACAGAAGACTTGGTAGATGAAATGTCGGCTGAAGAGAGGTTAGGAAAGAACTTAGTGTCGCGGGCTGCCACTGCTGCTGACCAAGGCGATGACAAGATGTTCCTGTCGACATGGCATGGGCACTCTTCGCTTAGCCCGACAGATGATCTGGAAGATTATGAGGTTGATATTGATGATAACATTAGCCATGGCGTCGCTGTTGGTAGCGTCAACGACGTGACAAATAACAACATTAACTTAGTCACTGACGAGACTAATGATCCCATTAACTTAGTCACTGAATGTAATGCTAGAGCTACCGGTAAGATGGCGTCTCGCCTGTCACACGGGATCACAGGTCAACCCAAGTCCTTGTTTGACCCACATGACCCATACGATCACCACATAATACCCGCATGACCCATACGATCACCACATAATACCCACATGACCCATACGATCACCACATAATACCCACATGACCCACACAATCACCACATATAACATGTAACACCCACACGATCACCACATATTACATGTACGACCCATACGATCACCACATATTACATGTACGACCCATACGATCACCACATATTACATGTACGACCCATACGATCACCACATATTACATGTACGACCCATACGATCACCACATATTACATGTACGACCCATACGATCACCACATATTACATGTAACACCCACACGATCACCACATATTACATGTACGACCCATACGAACACCACATATTACATGTACGACCCATACGATCACCACATATTACATGTAACACCCACACGATCACCACATATTACATGTACGACCCATACGAACACCACATAATACCCACATGACCCACGCAATCACCACATATTACATATAGGACCCACACGATCAGCATACAATATCTTTGACCCGAATGCGACAAATTCCAAAATACATACCTCGCATACACATAGGGAGACAGACATGACCAGTGACCGCATGCGTGTCATGTATGTTCTAGGAGAAGTCTTATTATCACTCCCAATGACTATTAACTTACTGAGTTCTGTGCTTGTTTGTCTTGCATGTATTTCTTGCTTTCTTCCTCATCCGATACAATTGGTCTGTCTGCCACTACATCATTTGGGTTGTTGGTCATGATTAATGTCTTGTCAGCAATTAATTCCATGCTAATTTTATCAGTACGTATGATTGCCTGCTATGGTATGTCATCAGCTAAGTGTAAGTTGGTAATACGGCTTATGCTGGCTCAGCCGACAAGGTCTTCCAAGATGTCTGTCATAGCCAGTGATCTGTCAGCAAATTTGAAACTGTCAAGTCTCGTACGTGTTAATAGGCAAATCACCCGGAGAATTAGCCTATACATATTTTTTTAAAAGACGTAGCCAGCTACTAATTGTCTGATCCTTGCTTTTGTGACCACCTTCATATTTACTGGAAGATTTGTTTTTTTTAGGAATATTTCGTCGACAGCTGTAGATTTAAATAAGTTACAGTAGTATTATGATAAAAAAATGTTTTACTTGGCGGTCCATGGGGGGGGGAGGGGGGGGGGGGGATTGTTATAATGTCCCCCTAAACGTCCCTGTCTACGCCACTGGTAGGGGCCTATCGGGAGAACTGGGGGGGGGGGATTTGTTTTTACAAATCTAATGGAGCTCAAGCATAAGAGACGAGAAGTTCTATATATGCCGTTCAGTAGGCTGCTTTATTCTTTTTATATGTAATAACTTAAGAGTAAAACCTATACATTACAAAAAATGGTGTGTTCGTATGTCTAAGTTACAGTGACTGTTGGTATGTTCAATCCTAGTTTGGCTGCCATCTGCTAATAAAATTCTTAAAATATTTAGTACATAATATCATGTAAGTCAAGTGCTTTAAGGGATCATCTAGTTATAATACCCTAGGAAGTGGTATTTTAACTCCAAAACTTCCCCATCATTTCTTTAATATAGCTACTTCCACTATTCATATGATTTCAAATTAAAATTTCAAGCTATACATTTCAATGCATTTTTTTCTTCGTCATACATATTTTTCTGTATGCAATAAATAAATTCACAACATTTGCTGCAGTTTTTGTTTCTAACTTTTGAAATGAGTTAGGTGACGAAAGCGTGTAATAGAAATAATCATGAATAGTAAGCGTGTAAGAGAAATAATCATGAATAGTAAGCGTGTCATAGAAATAATCACGAATAGTCAGCGTGCAAAAGAAATAATCACGAATAGTAAGTGTGTCATACAAATAATCACGAATAATAAGCATGTCATGGAAATAATCACGAATAGTAAGCGTGTAAAAGAAATAATCACGAATAAAAAGAGTTTCATAGAAATAATCACTTATAGTAAGCGTGTCATAGAAATAAACAAGAAAAGTAAGCGTGTCATAGAAATAATCATGAATAGTAAGCGTGTCATAGAAATAATCACGAATAGTAAGCGTGTCATAGAAATAATCACGAATAGTAAGCGTGTCATAGAAATAATCACGAATAATAAGCATGTCATGGAAATAATCACGAATAGTAAGCGTGTAAAAGAAATAATCACGAATAAAAAGAGTTTCATAGAAATAATCACGAATAGTAAGCGTGTAATAGAAATAATCACGAATAGTAAGTGTGTCATACAAATAATCACGAATAGTAAGCGTGGCATAGAAATAATCACGAATAGTAAGCGTGTCATAGAAATAATCACGAATAGTAAGCGTGTCATAGAAATAATCATGAATAGTAAGCGTGTCATGGAAATAATCACGAACAGTAAGCGTGTCATAGAAATAATCAAAAATAGTAAGCGTGTAATAGAAATAATCACGAATAGAAGGCGTGTCATAGAAATAATCTTGAATAGTAAGCGTGTCATAGAAATAATCACGAATAGTAAGCGTGTAATAGAAATAATCAAGAATAGTAAGCGTGTCATAGAAATAATCAAGAATAGTAAGTGTTTCATAGAAATAATCACGAATAGTAAGCGTGGCATAGAAATAATCAAGAATAGTATGCGTGTCATAGAAATAATTACGAATAGTAAGCATATCATAGAAATAATCACGAATAGTAAGCGTGTCATAAAAATAATCATGAATAGTAAGCGTGTCATAGAAATAATCACGAATAGTAAGCGTGTCATAGAAATAATCACGAATAGTAAGCGTGTAATAGAAATAATCACTAAGAATAGTAAGCATGTAATAAAAATAATTTTGAATAGTAAGCGTGTCATAGAAATAATCACGAATAGTAAGCGTGTCATAGAAATAATCAAGAATAGTAAGCGTGTCATAGAAATAATCAAGAATAGTAAGCGTGTCATGGAAATAATCACAAATAGAAAGCGTGTAATAGAAATAATCATGAATAGTAAGCGTGTCATAGAAATAATCACGAATAGTAAGCGTGTCATAGAAATAATCACGAATAGTAAGCGTGTAATAGAAATAATCATGAATAGTAAGCGTGTCATAGAAATAATCACGAATAGTAAGCGTGTAATAGAAATAATCACGAATAGTAAGCGTGTAATTGAAGTAATCACGAAGAGTAAGCGAGCTAAATTTTAATTTTTCAATTTGCCATATTGTCACATTTTCGCGTTTACTGTCGACTAAGAAATCAGTTGGCCAAGAAATAAGTCAGCCAAGAAATAAGTTGGCCAACAAATAAGTCGAACAAGAAATAAGTCGGCCAAGAAATAAGTCGGCCAAGAAATATGTCGACCAAGAAATCAGTTGGCCAAGAAATAAGTCGAACAAGAAATAAGTTGGCCAAAAAATAAGTTGACCAAGAAATAAGTTGTTTTGAAACAATTAATTCATGCCTTAAAGCAGGGGTCTCCAAACTTTTCAGTCCGAGGGCCGCATTAACTATCAAATTTCAGTTCGGGGGCCAGTTTCTTCCAGGAATGTCTTTAATTTTTCTGCGTAAAGTTTCTCGGCCATCACCAACAAACGTTTTTTCCGTGGACAAAAAGATCTCCGCGGGCCGGATGAGAGGACATCGCGGGCCGCATCCGGCCCGCGGGCCGTAGTTTGGAGACCCCTGCCTTAAAGCAATGTGGTCCAAAAATAGTTTTTTACAACTCAAAATGGATGAATCTTCAAGAAACTCCAGAAACACAAGTGCCCGAATGCCGTTTGCCCGAAAGGAAAGCTGCCCGAATGCAAAAAAAAAAAAAAAAAAAATGAAGAAAAAAAAGCCTGAATTAACATTTGTTGTTACAGACAATGTTACAGCTACCCTATTTGAAGAAGTTTGTGAAATATTTTTTCGTCGCAAATTACAAATACTTGATAAGCAGTATATTTCCGCTATTTGTAATGTGGCGCCACTATAGTTTCAGTTCCTCAGCACATTTATTGAATTTAATGAATCTGTAATCGACCCCCTTTCCTTACAAATATTTGGACTACTTGTACTTATATTCTATTGGTTTTAAAGAATGTAAAAACAATTTAGAAATTTTGGAGATAATAAATTTTAGACATATTTCAGTGAAGCAACTAAGTCTAAGTGTGAGAAATACGTAAAGGTCTAATATTCAAGCCTAATAAAAAGCCTAATAAAAGGCAGTTTAAAAGTCGAGTTGAAACTTGAATTCCGACTGTATGATTTAGGTTTAGCGGCGAAAAGTAGGAAACGGGACTGTGGTCGCGCATGAGATATCTTATATTTGCATTTTTTAGCGACCAAAGCGTTTGTTAAACAACTGCCTGCAAAACATGTCGCAAGAAAATTTAAAATAATTTTGGTCATATTTTCATTTTTTTTTTTTGCCAGTTACTAGGTTACTATTTGAGGGGAAAAAAATGAAATGATTTTTCGATTTTTAAAATATTTATACAATAATGCAGTTTCTTGAGTACGCCTACTTAAAAATTCATGTTTAATAATGAATTTAGGTTAAATCTGAGAGTGTGTCAGTCCTTCCTTACTTCCTTCCATTCTTTCGCCCTTCCTTCCATCATTCCGTCACCGCTATAGATTCCAGAAATATAAAAAAATAAACACCACATGTCGTGCATGTACCTGCATAGCATTGTCTTATTATAAGTTACAGAGTAGGGTTTATTTATGTAACGACTTAAATTTTTGTATTGTTGGTAGAACTTTTTTCTCTTTTTCATACGTCAACAAAAGAACGTGAAGAAACATATTAAATACACCAATTTTGCTAAAACATATTAAATACACCGCTTTTGCTAAAACATATTAAACTGGTCAATGTCAAATAATATTTTCGCTTAGATACATTTTATTAACAATAGTGTCGAATAAAACTTATTAATTAGAATGTTTAATATTTACTATACTACCTGTTATCTAGTTAGATAATTGTGGGTTTCGGGGGTCATCCATAAATAACATCCCGTCTGTCAGCACTTATCATCCCAAAATAAC